AATTATTTTAAATTATTTTATATTTCGAACAATAACGATTCGAACACGAACGAACGCACTGTTCGTGTTTGGTTCGTTTAACTAACCGAACGAAAAAAAATTGTTCATATTCGTCTCGTCTACTTATCGAACGAATTGAACACAAACTCATTGACAAATCGAACACGAACTGTTCGTGAACAACGAGCTTTTTTGACAGCCCTAGTCATGACCAATGAAATGCATTAGGATCCCTTTCCTATTATTGGGTGTGCGCTCGAGCGCGGGCGTGCGTGCGCGTGTTTAAAATAAATGAAAATTTACAGTGTGTGTGTTTGTGTGTAATCGATATTTGATTTAATGGGCACCAAAATTTCGATTCGCCCAAAGGGTTGAAAATCCTGGTATACTTGCTTCTGATTCGAAAAACCCGCACCACCGGATTCGAACCCCCGACCCGAGGGACTTACACCAAATGCCGCACCAATAAGCCAGGTCATTCGCACATGTACATTTCCACTATATAAATAAGAATGCTTTTTAACACAAAACTACCATGTATTCTTTTAAGATTTTATGCATTTTAAAACATATATTAGAACTTAATTTAATTCCACTTCATCCACGCACACTTTTACCAGTCAAAGTAAAGGAGATGCTACAAAAAAAGGTTTTTTCCATAGGGGGATTAAAAAGTGGGAGATATATAAATAGATAAGAATTGAGTGGTATATCTGTAAATCTTCCAATAAAATTACAAAATCATATAATAAAATCTAATTAAAATTTATATTGCACTCATTTTAAAATAAAAATAAAAATAAAAATTTTTGGCATCCATCTGACCATTTAACTATGGATAACCTAATCCAAACCAACAATATTAAGCATAGCTTACCGAAGTTTCTGCAGAATAAATAATTAATGGCCAGAATAAGAAATAGCAGCAATCATCAGCACAAATGACTTATAAAGAAGGAAAAAAGAAAAGAGAACTCCAGTTGATAAAACAGTTAAATTTCCCCCACACAGCAGTTTTTCACATAAAATCTAATTGAAGCGTTCAGTAAATCTACTAAACTAATGAAGCAATTAAGAACCAGCTCCAGTTTCTGCTTTACTTGGTCTCCTCAAGATTCCTGTTTTGGAGCTTCTTTGATCTCATCTCCAGCATCCTCCTGCGTTTGAAAAATCCACATAAGTTGGCCGAAAGGAGAATTCATTATAATTTCATATATTTATTTAATTTGAAGCAATTTCAGGGGATGCAAATATTTTTTTTTTAATATAATTTCATATTATAAGTTTGGTTTTCATATAGTTAAGAAAAGAATAATTAAATCAGGTGGATTTTCTTTTCATATAATTAATAAAAGAAAATTTTAAAAACAGTGGTATTTTTTATGTGATATATAAGATTTGGTTGGTATAACAGTAAAAAAGTATAATTTAGGTGTTAGATACGCAAATATATAGGAATTGTGTGGTATGTATGTAAATGCCCCCAAAAAAATTTTGAGCTCTTACATATCCCCGCATAGGGAACAAAAAAATTCTTATAGATTATCTTGATTTCTCTTAAATAAAAATAAATTCAATTTGCAGTATTTTAATTCCTGCAAAACAAACAGAGCCCAAGTAATTATCAGGAAAAGGAAGAAAGGAGATGGGGAAAATACATTTATATCAGAAGTCCACAGCGTCAAGTTATCTCGGAGGAGTTGCATGATCAATGTGCTGTCCTTGTAAGATTCCTCTCCCAATGTATCCAGCTCTGATATGGCCTCATCAAAGGCCTTCAGAAGGAAACGAAGATTAGTATGATTGAATGTTAGAATTTAATAGGAAAAAAAAATGAAATTTAACAGGAAAATATATCAGCACAATAAAATGAGACAATCTTGGAATATGTTCGAGTTAGGCACAAATTATCATTTTACTCTGAAATTTCCATTAAAAAGTTTCAATGTAAGCTGCTAAAGTGGCAGTTTAGGATCATTTTTGTTTTTAATTTTCTATTTTGTGTTTTTATTTTGAGGTTGTTTGGTTCCCTACATTAGGGGTGTAAAATAAACCAAATACAGAGTTTTCAAAATTATGACATTCGGGTTTAACGGAATGCAGTGCAAGATTTTGGAGAATTTGGAATTCATCTTGCAGTTAAAAATTATGTATTTCGAATTTGCGAGATTTATGTGATTTCCGAATACACCACAAACAGTCACCCGCTGGCTGCTAACCACAACCCCCTACTTGATGTAACCCGCTGCAAACGTCATAGCCACTAGTCGCCACTATCGCCAAGCATATTTTACATTATTTTTATTTTTTCTTCAAACCAAACACAAAAATATAAATTCGTGCATTTAGTTTTCACCAAATCAAACAAACTCAAAATATTCCAAAAACGAAAATATAAATTCGGTCATTTAGCTTTTACCAAATCAAACAAACTTTAAGTATTCCAAATACACTACATTTCACTTATGCTAAATTCCTTCTACCTTACATTTATTTTTTCACAAACCAAACAATTTTGTTTTGCTTATCTTTAGATTTGAAATAGAAAGTGTTTACCATATTGAGAATAAATCAACTTAATTTAAAAATAACTCAAAATATCTTTTAGCTGATATATTATTAAAAATAAAAAAAAACATGTGAAAAAATAGTAGACAAATATATTTTTAAAAATAAAAAACAAAAAACAAAATGTTAAAATTGATCCCAAAAAGCCCCTAAATTATTTTAAATGACTGGCATCCAAGAAGTAAGCATTTCCTGAAACTCTGATCTGGCTAAGTGTCCAACAAAAGTAATAGAATAATGAAGAAGAATCAGTATTAAATGTAAGATGCAACATTAGACTATATTATATTTTAATTGATAACATTCCTAAATATAATAATGATATAAGAAAATAAATATGTAGATAATCTCAAGTTTTGTTCAATACTCAAAATAATTTCATAGAAGACCAGGGGGGCCTTACATGAAAGGGTCCTAGGGTTACAGGCAAATAAAAATTACCAAACAATTAGAAGAAAATAAGTCCTAATACAAATAAGAAGGCAATAAATAACTAATAAAGCCGATCAAAATGCCCTAAAAAATAAGTGTTAAATAAAGAAATGGACACTTTAATTAATCACACTCAAAATCGAACATTCGGAGAGTAAAGCTAAAGATTCTCATTCGGAGAGTAAAGCTAAAGACACTCATCCAGAAGGCAAGGACAGATGCATTGCAGCTCATCAAGAGTTGCAAACAAATCATAGGATGGTGAATGACATTCATATAAAATAATATTATCCGCCTAAAAGGCCAACTACGATCTCATCTAATATAATTTGCTCAACAACTAGAACCTGCATAGGAAGTCGTATTAGTGGGGATGTAAAAACTAAATTATATATATATATATATGGGCTTAGGTTTAGGCATGGAGTTTTTTATAGGAAATACTGGAAAGCAATCAGGGCAAATACAAACTAATATAATCAATCACCTTCTCTATATTCTCGTAATTTCCCATGAGCATTTTCCATAACATTATATTTTTTATTTTACAAATCAATTTGAGATTTGATATATTGATGATGCAGATGCATATGTTCAATGAATGATGAGGCGAAATTAAAATATGCATGCGCATAATCATATGAGATCTATAAGTTTCCTAAGTTGTTACCCATGCAAAGCTTCAAAAGTTGATTTTTCTACTGTAGCTTTCATAGAGATATTGTAAGCAGATTCAATCATACATGATAATAAATCTCAATTTCCTAAATTATTATCATAAGAGATATAAATTTCTTTGAGATATAAATTTCTTAAAATTTTATTCTATTTAGCGTTTGTATGCGAAAACTAAATGAAAACTTTAATTATGTCCTAAACTGTTTCCATGATATTTTAAAATAAATAGAAAACCTTGCATCATATCAGATACAATGGGAGTGAGGAGACCATATAGCTAAATGGTTTCTTTAAAACATTTAGTCCAAATGAGAGGCATCAACAATCCTAGAATGAAAAATAAATTAAACCATTTTGAAAAACCTAATGAATAGCACTAAAAAAAGAACCAAGTCCAAGAGTACAGTAATCCTCACACAGAATCCATGGTGATTCCTATCCATGACACATTAGACACAATTAAGGGAGTGGAGATGAGCTGGAAGTTGCTTAAAGCTTTTCACATTCAACAGGTCCAACATAGGCTTACTATTCTAAGCAAAAATCCCATGTAAAGGCCTATGCAATCCTTCCTCTACCAAACAAATGATCTTATCACATCCTACGCGACCACCTAATCCTCCTACACACAACTCTCAAATAAGAAAAACTTGCAAAGAGGAATGAGTGAAACAGTTTTGATCCTTCCTAGGGGAATCTATCACGCAATATGTAACATGTAATTGATATGATTTTAACAACTTATAAAACAAGGTAGATATAATTAAAATCAATTCATTTTATTCACTCGTCTCACATTTTCTCAAACCCTTATAATTTCACAATATTGAGTTGAGCATGATAAAAACTCTGCATATATCAACATCTTTGTTCTCAATTATAACAGTGGCTCACTATCCTAACAACAGTCTTTCCTAGTAGAGGCCAATACAATCATTTTTCTACCAAACAAATGGTATCACGTTGTATATAGCCATCTAATATTCCAGTATGTGATCCTAAATAAGAATATCCCACAAAGAAGTGCATGGAATACATAGTTTTCAACTTTCCAAGAGGAATCCATCATGTAATGCAAACCTGAAATTGCTATGATTTGATTAACTTACAAATCAAGAAAGATTCAATTTAAAATAGAGCATACTAGATACTCGACTTTTATTTTCTCAAATCCTCACACTCTTACAAGCACGTCAACTTTTTTATTTTCAACTCCATAGAAGTTTTTAATATTTAATAATAAAGGAATATTCATGCATGGTATGACAAGTACTAAACTTTTTTTGGAATTATAAATACCACAAAGCTTGGTGGTCAAAACTCAAGCAAAAAATCTAATTAAAATATAGTGACGTCTGTCACACATTAAAGCTTGCACTACAGCATAAAACTCCTTATCATGGGTTAAATATTTTTGCTTAGCACCATTGAGCTTCTCACTAAAGAATTTCAGAAAATGATTTCCATGACTTAGTACACTACGTGCACACTAATCCTAAAGCGTCAGATACTTTGAATTTTTCTGAAATTGGAAAAACTTAAACATGAGGATCCTCAACTGACGCGAAGCTCGCCCGGGGCCTGAACCTGTGGCTGAACCAGTTCAGGAGGGCAGCCACAAGGTGCTGGCCAGCCCTTGGGTTGAGGCTAGGGTTGCAGCCCAAGTGAGGAGGTTCTTCCGTTAATTATTTACTAATATTTATATGTATTTGTTGTGTTAAAGTTAAGTTTTTGGTGAGATATCTGTTTGGACAGCCACTGGCATCTATTTTTCCCTATTTAGGTCTGTATCCGAGGACAAGTGGTGCTTCGACTGTATCCTGCTCCAAGGCGGTGACTATCCCTCATGAATTTCCTCGCTTCTTTCACCCAGCTGCTCACAGCCCCTCTGAGTAGTAACCCCTCTCAGCCGTCACTCCAATATCAGTCCGCCTTCCCAACCTTCGTCCCTGCCGCCACCTCACGACCAGCCTTCCCTCACTATCATAGCCCCATATCCACTATCAGCCTTCCGACTATACAATGACCAACCCATTTCCAGCCATCTGCTTGACTCTCCTTCCACGAAGGCACAAGCCTACTGTCCTTCCACCATACAACCGCCATCAATTCCACTTCCCTTCTAACCACAGCACTGCCTCTCCGACTTATGCCCTAGCTTGAGCTTGTGACGCCATTTTCCTATTTTAAGGTGTCTTGTTTGTAAACCCTTCTTACGTTCAACAATATGAATATTATTTCGTTGTAGCTTTAGGATAACTCCGGTATCTCCTTCATTCTAGCTTTAATAAGGTAAATTCCTTAGCTGAAGTAGTTCATTTATCATGCATGTTAGTGGAGCAGTAATAGCATGGAAGCCTCTGACAAAATGACAATAAAAGGTAATAAGTTCATTTGACATCAAAAATAGATTGGGGTCAAAGCCATTCAACAATTACCCAAATATTTTGTGAATTAGCTTCCAATTGCTTGAGGAAACAAATGGCCAAAAAATGTCATTGTTGGAGAAATGTACACAACTTTTAGATTTTTTTTCTTAAAGGATCAAAAAGTCTCAAAATAAGATTTAAATAATTGAGGAGTGTTGACTATGATTTACTATAAACGAGAACAAACACAAAATAAATGAAAAATACCCAACTGATTAAATGGTGCAAAACTTGATTCATGATTCTAATTAAAGCACCAGTTGCATTGGATAATCAAAATGGCATCACAGCCATCACTCGTTTTAGAAGTTGTCTTTATCTGAACTTTATGATAAATTCATCTTTGATGGTATTTTCTAAGATCAATTTTTAAGAAGCATAAGAATCCTGAAATTAGATCTGGCATATCATATATAGAGAATTGAAAACTAAAAGCAAATTATAGTTTGTTAATAACTCTGCTACAAATTCGCATTCTCCATCAAGCATCTTTATTCAATCAGTAAAATAAGTACAGTATAAAAGCTAAAACTTTCACACATAAATCTTTTTTATTGATGTCCATCAATCAGATGATTTAAAATAGTAAATTTGACAGTTCTGTTGTCGAAAAAAGATCAATTATATTTTAAATGATACACAATGGGGGAAACGCATTAGAAAGTTCCTCTGGCCTATTCAATAGTTGTAATAATAGCTTGTCTGGTAATTAAATACAAGATCATCTTAGATACTCGGGCCTCTTTTACAAAGTACTTATGAGTCGGAATTTGCAACCTATAAGACTTATCTTTCCCTTTATAATTAGGTTTTAACTTGAAATTAATTTTTTGTGCCTTCTCAGTAGACTTAAAGAGAATGAGTTTAATGATGGTGCCCGTATGCTATAAGACATCAGTGTTGTCTCATCCATAATGGGCCATATTTTAGTCATAAGAAAAAGTCCTAGTAAGGAGGACGAATGCTACATTCATTAATAAAACATTGCACCATATCTAATCTTTATAACATCAAAGTTGGATAGATGCTTAACAACTTTTATTTACAGGTAATGAAGTTTTATTCACCCATGCTGATTTAGGCAGTTCATAAGTGAGTTTGATGCAATAGTTATAGTCCTACCATACTTAATAACAAGCTTACATATTTTATTTTTACAATAACGTGTGTAAATAGCAATTGTTCACCTCCAATCTTCTCCTAGAACTTTGGTTGCCAACATACATCTTCTACACAAATATTTCTTTAGGCATGACCTTCTTCATCATCTTCAGTGTGTGATAATTTAAGAATGATGGGATTAATGCATTCACACTCAACGCCTATTCCTTCAATGAGTAAAAATTTTATGAATCTAAAAGGTTAATTCTTCTATACCAGGACCCAACAACTTTTACATGCACAATACGTTCATCATATAATGATGGCAAACTAGGATTTTAATAGGTTAAAAAAGTCATCTTGGTGGATTGTAGCGACATGTTTGAAACAAATGATGACATTAATGCGACAGCAAATAAAAGGAGTTTTTTTTTTTCACAAAGCTTGTTACTAGCATTGGGCATGCCTAAGTTTGTAGGCTTTACAAACATGTTTAGACTAATTGCTATTAAGTTACAAGAAATCCATTTCCATTGTTTAAGTGAGTGCCGCCAATCTTAGTACTAGGATAACATTAATATTGCTGAATTTTTAATGCCCTACTCTAAGCTTTATTTAAGGACTCTAGAGTATGTAAATTGACTTATCTTTATAGCAAATTTTTAATCAATTAATAAAACTAGACATAATTATCTGAGGACCTTCAAAAAGAACACAATTGTTATGAGTTCTTCAAAGATATTCAGACATGCAGTAACAGTTTAAGAACCCTTATTAAGGTTTCAATATCCACTCAACTAATTTAATATATAGAATTTATTTTTGTTAAAGTTGATTCTTTGTTTCATCTTAAATGATAATAAAAAGTGAACATTGAATATCAAATTCATCATTTTTAACCCTTTTTTTATAAATCAAAATCATCATTCTCTTTGGGATTCATAGTTGTTCATGTTATTTCAGAAATAATTTTGTGGAGAAGGATAACATTTAAAATTTTGTTTTTAACTCGGCTTCCTCATAAAATATATTGACCCACGTTTAGGATTTGTCAAAAGATTTGTCTTCATTATTGTCATCATCAGAAAAAAAATTGTGTTAGTATGATTAGGCCATTTATAAAGTCTAAGACCTTGATCATTCCTTCAAATGCTATTTTTTACAACAAAGTGCACCTCAAACCATACAGGTAAATGTAGATGTCTCTTCAAAAATTTTGCGGTCAATTTCACGAATAAAATAAGTTTGATTGCCAATTCGTCTCCAAGATTTCAATGGTTGCTAGATAAATGTGAAAAAATAACCTGAGATGTCCCTTCATAAAACTCCCTTTGAATTTCAATTGAGTTTTGTAGTGATTTGACTTTGACAAAAAAAATCATCAAATTGACCCATTTTTCAAATTAAAGTTGTTCTCTACAGTGTTCACACGCATATCAGAAGCCATATCATATTATGTTCTTGGTTTTCTACCCTTAAAAGTTGTGGGTGCCAAAGTGATAAAAAGATTAATAAGCTATGAAAATGGTTCAAATAGAGACATTTTAAATGCAACTAATTAGAAAGCTTAAAAAATAAAGAAAATACAAATTAATTTAATTTTAAAAACAAATAATTGTGCTATGATGTGAACTAATCATTGCTTAGTTCATAAAAATATCTTGACGTATGCAAAACATTGATTTATGCTAGTAGCATTCAAGAGATAATAGATATAGTAGGTTCCTAACACAATGTATAGTGGAACTCCCAAATTCACAGGACTAAACAGCAAGTAATATGGTAGGAGGGACACATACCTTTGCAAGTATAGGCGTGCATAAGTTATTTTAAATTGAAAAACCATACCCAAACCAAGTATATTTGGTTGATATATTTTTGTTGATGAAATTATGAGTTGGTATTTGGTTAAGATTAAAGATTGCTTGGATTACACCAATTAGTTCAGTTTGTAAAAAAAAATCAGTTAAACCAAAAAAACCAAATTATACTGTAACTAGATCAATATTAAAATCATGTTAAAATAAAGTAATATTTATTACATCGTCCAATTTAACCCCAAAACCTCTCCTTCTGGTTTTAATGTTTTGCCTCACAAACTTGGTTGAATGTGTGGAAAGCTGCTGCGATGAAATGGGAATGTAAAGGCTTCGAGAAATTCACATGAAGGATCCAACAAGAGGAAAATATGTCAAAGATGTTTGGCAAAAGCAATAAACAAACAAGACCCTGTGGATTGACTACAAGACATACACAAAAATAAGCTTATCAATTGTTTGAAGAGGTGAGCAAAAGAAATGCAAAGTAGATAAAGGAGAGCGAGATGAGTCCATGTGATTCTTAATGTTACCAGACAGTTTTAAAGTAGAATAGCAAAAAGCATGTCTTAAATAAGTAAATTCACATTCACATAACGTATGGGTCATGTCAAGCTATGTCAAATCCTAGTCACCTCTAACGCGATTTCGAGTGTGTTAGACAATGTCAAATACTCGTCACCTCAAACACGATTTCGAGTGTGTCAGACTATGTCAGAGCCATGCCTGTGTCCAACACATATGTGCTGCATAGCTAAGTGTATGGTATTTAAAAGTATGTGCTGCATAGCTAGAAACAATCTCAAATTTTATTCAATATGCGGTCAATCTCAGTGTAGCCTAAGGATTCCTATTTATAGTGACAGTCCTGGGGTACAAGCAGCGAAACAATTGAAAGATAATAAGTGATAATAGAAATCATAAAGTAATAAATAACCCTACTAAAGCAAATAACAAAATTTACCAAGTACAAAATGCTAACTAAAAAAATAAATGATTTACTTAACAGCACTGTTGACAACAAAACATAAGTTCAAATCGAGCAACTATAGATAAATGGTCATTCACTTGTTGCATAGTGAGAGAAAATATTCTCAATTAACAATCTAGCAGACCAAAAAGTTGGTTTTTCTTCTCTTTGAATAAAATTGAAAAAATTCACATAGTAATAAGCAGAATAGTTCAATATATTAGAAATGCAAAACAATGTTAAAACATACCTGCTTTGCCAAATTGCAAGCACGGTCTGGAGAATTCAATATTTCATAATAGAATACAGAGAAGTTAAGTGCCAACCCCAGCCTTATAGGATGAGTTGGAGTTAGATCAGCCAATGCAATGTCCTGCAGTTTACCAAATATTTGCATATTCTTTGTAATGTGTTTAAAAAAAGGAGTAAAGAGTTTAAAAGTAAAACTAATGATAAAATAATACTTATTATTATTATTATTATTATCAACATACGTAGGCACACAGCGTATGTACATTGTACAACACTGTACCCACCTATACACCTACCTAAACAGATAATTTTTCATGAAGAAACATGTGAAGCAGATCAAATAAATAAAATGTCCCAACCTGAGCTGATTTATAGGCTAACAGTGTGTTCTCGGCAGCCTCCTTCCTCTCTGCTCCAGTCTTAAACTCAGCAAGGTACCTAAGTATTAATCATCAAAAACAATGAATAATGCATAAAATCTACTTATTTGTAACCAATTAATACTACAAAATTCTACAAACCTGTGGTAATCACCCTTCATCTTAAGATAGAAAACCTTAGACTCGGCTGCAGTGGCAGAAGGAATGAGATGAGAATCAAGGAGCTTCAAAATCCCATCACAAATCTTGGTAAGCTCAGCCTCAATCTTTCCACGGTAGTCTTTGATTATGGCCACATGATCTTCATTCCCACGACTCTCTTCCTTCTGCTCAATGGAAGAAATGATCCTCCATGAGGCACGACGAGCACCAATTACATTTTTATAAGCAACAGATAAAAGATTACGTTCCTCCACGGTTAGCTCCTCCACATCAACAGTTTTAGCCACCTTCTCCATAAATTCAACCATCTCCTCATATCGCTCAGCCTGCTCAGCAAGTTTTGCCAAATAGACATTCTCCTCACGGGAAGACTCTGCTGATGACATCTTTACTTGTGATTTACGTTATGAACACCAGATCACCACGAATTCTCGGATCTGGATGAAAATATAGGCAAATCTCAATCCTCAATAGTCCACAAAAGCAATTATTGAATGCGCCATCTTTAAAAAAATCAACAGATATTAGCAATAAAATGAAATTCTAAGAAATGAAGCTACAAAAAAAAAAGAAAAAAAAACCCATAAAAGAAAGAATCCACACCATCCACCTCACTTTCAAAAGTACGCGGAGGAAAAAGGTAGCGCCGAAAAAAAATATTACGATATTCTACAGTTTATGGTGGCCTCGAATGACATGTTAATATAAGATGGCCTTATGAAACAGCTACCGATCATCATAGAACAAACTAATTCCAATAAATAGCTTCAATCGAGAAAAGCAGATCCAAAAACTGACAAAAATTATACTAAAAAACCACACCCACGAATCAAATTAAGGAGCAGCCGTCCGGGGAAAAAAAATAAAAAACAAATTCAGCAAAAATAAGCACAAAGACCTGATCCCCCCTGAACAAAACAGTGCCCCTGAGCACGATTCGACCGAATCGATCCCTCCAAATCGCAACAAAACCTTAAAAAAGATCTGAGAAGATGCAATGGGGAAAAAGAAAAGACCATAGGACAAACTTTGAAGCCTTACCTACTTATTATAGATCTAGATCTCCTTAGCCTCCGATGCGGAGATCCTTAGGACCAAGACGATAAGAGCCGGTCGAAAGTAAAGAGAAGCCCTAATAATGGCGAATGGCCGGCTGATATATCTAGTCTGCAGCTAGTGGCCAAAATGACAGGCAGACAAGCTGATCTCTCTTTTATGTGGACCGTTGGCACATTTGCAAAACTTTGCTGTACTTTCACAGAAATATTATGAATAATTTAAGTCCGATTTTCTGAAAAAAAAAAAATTACATGCATACCACACAGTTGTTACATATTTACATAGTTAATTTTTATATTTTTAATTATTACATCAAATTATTAAAAATTATTCAAAATTTTAAATTCACCCTCAAGATTTACCACATTATTTTATATTTTTAATTAATTTTTAATTTCTACTTTATATTTTATAATTATTGTTGAATGAATTTATACATTAATAATCATATAATAGAGTATTTAGTTAATAAAAGCGACATTTTATTCTTCATTTTGTGCTTTAAAGTAAAAAATAAAACTTTATGCATCAGTTTTTATAGCTATTAAATCTTTGGGTGTAAACCAGCCAAGCTCAAGTGAGCCCAAATTTATTCATGTTCAGCTAGTTAATTTTTTATATGTATATCCTATTCATGCTCAAAATGGCATGTGTACAGTTTGTTCGTGTTTTGTTTGATTAAGGCTTGACTGTTCAAACTACACTCATGTTCAGCTCGAATTGATGCTCAATAACTAAAACTTGCAAGTGGGACACGCAACTATAGTGCTCAGAAGAAGGATTTACATGCATTTAAGTACCGTTTTAGGCCGTAAAAAAACGAGTGCCATCGATGTGGGACTAAGCATTAAAAGAAAAATGAGTTATATATAATTGCATTCTTGGCTTTAAGTAGAGACTTGTTTGCGTCTCCTCAAGAAATTGATTCTACAAGCTACTTGCTTTTATCATATCTTTGTTGTGGACATGATCTCATGAGTTATTGTACTTAGTTAAAGAAGTTATACATTTGTGCTTAATAAAGGTGAACAACATCATCATGGACTATAAGATTTTATCTAGTTTATGCAACATATTAGAGTTGTTGGTATAACCGAGATGCTCAGCACTAACATCAAGATGACTCATTATGTTCTTATTTATGATATGATCATCAACTTTTTAAAGTCTTGATTAAAAAATCTATTTATGTAAATCATCATAGCTAGCAATGTAAACGCGGTGAATATGAGCGAGCTGAGTTTGTTTGAAATTGTTTATGTTCAGAATAGGCTCGTGTTTAAAATAGTTCGTGAAATATATGTTTGTGTTTGGTTAGATTTCTTCGAATTTGGATTGAATTGTTCGAACTAAGCTCGTGTTTGGCTCGAATTTGAGCTCAATAATAAAAGTTTTAAGTGGGTCATGAGACTATTGTGCAGATGGATTTTCTTACAAATTAACCTTGGTGTTTTTTTTTTTTTGGGTATTTATAGAACCTTTCGTTTTTTATTTTTTAGGACATTTAGGTAAATACCATCTAATTCTATACATTTACATATTTAACGCCTAAACATTCAAAAAATTTTCTGTACAGACTCCTGACGTAGCTCTACGTGCGGCGCAGGGTATTCCTGAGTTATTTTCAGGTTTTTTCTTGGTTATTTTCAATAATCCTTTCTGGGTTATTTCAGGATTATTGAAAATAACACAGAAATAATCTGAAAATAACTTAGGAATAACTTGCACCGCACATAGAGGTACGTCAAGTGTCCGGACAGAAAATGCGCGCCTAAACATTAAAGCAATCGTGGGACCGTGAGATGAATTTGGCTTAGCTTTGTTTTTTTTTGGGGTCTTTTCATACATAAATGTACTAACATATCAACCATCAAAACTATATTTTTTACATTTATAACACCCAAATCTCTTATAGCTTTTTTTAATGCAATATAAATAAATAATATAAAAATGATATTGCCGGCGTTATTTCGGGCATGGTTTGGTTGTGGGGTTGCCCGTAAGAAGCTGTCGGTCACCGGAATCGAAATCCCGTCGTCCGCTTCAGAAGGACGTTGAGGTATGAAATCAAACTGACCTCATGTTTTTCATAGTTTAAAATGAAAGAGCATTGTACCTCAAATCCTGTATCTATCCCGAAAGATAAACACAAGAATTGAGGATGAGGCTCGATCAAAATAAACTAAGGAAAGTATCGTTTGGTCTGCGAAACCTTTGTATTTGCCGACAAGTTCTCCTATTTAATATAAAAGATTAAATAGGATTTATATTAAGTTGGGTTCGGACATCTTAAATGGAGAGCATAGTCAATGGAGAGCATAGTTATATTAAGTTGGGTTCGGACATCTCCTATAAGGGCAAGCCCCTATAGTTAATTACA